ACCTTCCCAGCAGTTGCCATGTATTCCAGGATCCCTGCTTAGAATCTGCCCAAGCTCTTCTACAAATGACTTCTCTCCTTGATTGCTTTGGCTCTGAGGAATACATGAGCAACTTTTCTCCACCCTGTACAACACATAAAATGTTTAATCTATGATAGGCCAGCTCAGGAAGGGGAGGGTTCGTTTGCAACTGTACTAAGAAGTTCAATGTTTCCCAAGAGTTTTGTTTAAAACAATCTCCCTCTGGAGAAACCATCCAAAGATAACTGCCATTTAGACCCAGAAGATAGATTCTAAAAATGTACAAATGTCAGGGCTTACTTCCAAAGAACTAAGTTTCTGATTAAGAACTAGTCTGTACCAGCAAAAAACAACAGAACAAAACACAAACATCTTTGATTGATGTTCTCTTGTTTAAATTACTTACATAAAGGATAAATACAGAGTATATATGATGCATTTGGGCAATCGTATTAATTCCACAGGTTTGGTGTGCCCTTAGAATCATAATTGAGCAATGTTAGTCCTTGTGAAATAGCTATTAAGTTTGCACTGTACATATAACACATTGGCCAAGGCAAAGATTTATTAAAACAAATGACAGTTCATATGACAAATAATATAAACGGACAAGCAGCACTTCTTTTTTTATGGATCTTTAGCAAAATTCCCAGCATGTGCAACACTAATTAGCCCCTAATGTAAATTTCTCACATTGTCTTGGGAATGTGAAACATTAAACATTAAATGGCTACTCACAGAAGATGGCCACACGAAAGCTGAAATTGCATGATGTGCTTAACCATAGTTGACTTATTTTATTCATTAATCCGTGACTTCTTAAGATTGATTCAATTATCCCATTTTTATTATTATTAACTTAAAATAATTGTCAAATTCTACTCATGTGTTGCTGGAATGCAAGGCTACAATGTATTCTGTATTGGCCCAATACATTGAACTATAAACTAAGTCTTCTGGTTATGTTTGCACAATATTCTAGACTAAAATATTTTTGACTACTTTGTATGTCAGTATATCACACAAGCACAGCTAGTGTAGGCTGTTCTAAGCAAAATGTAGCCAAATAAAACAGCCTAAAAGTAGATGCCACTGCAGTCAGTGAAGAGAATTGATGCATAAACAACAACTGTAGCAGTCACACTTGAATATGAAATTATTTCAGCAGTTTCCTGGTAGAAAAATGCTTGGCTGGCACAATACCGGAGACAATTTTTTAAAAACAAAACAGAGAAAGGAGAAAAAAAAGCTTCACTAAAAACTAAAATGGTTTAAATAAAGAAATACTTAAATTAAATCATGGATCATATTATAATAAAATATAAAATATATTTTTGACCAGGAGGAAGGGAGGGAGATAGCTAGATAGAGATAGAGATGATAGATAGATAGATAGATAGATAGATAGATAGATAGATAGATAGATAGATAGATAGATAGATAGATATACACACAAACAGGCAGGCAGGCATATACAGAGATAGCACAATCTCCAGGACACTCAGCTCCTGTTGGAAAAAGTTGGAAGTTTGCTCAGCTTCAGTTGGTCCACTAGTTGTGTGCCCATTTCTGGAACAGGGGATGCTGGAAACCATCATCATCATGCCCCCATGATGATGATGGTTTTCATCATCATCATGCCTCCACTTTACATTTGGACCATTAAATTCACTGTCCACAGGTCTGCCTTTCAACACCATTGAGAAACGGCAGCTTGCCAAATTGTCTACAACCGGGTAGTACTGCTTTGTAACACCAGTGATACAGGAGTTGAATCAGTAGCTTGTCTGTTCCCAGGCTCTATTCAGGATGCTGGTTACATTCTTTAAAGTCCTGTGTGGCTTAAGAGCCGATTATTTGTTATTGAGGTGCATTGTGAAGGAACTGGAGAAGCATTTTCTCTAGTAGGTCCCTCCTATGAAATGTTTTACCATCAAGAACAAGAACTGTATTATCACTCCTGATATTTAGGAAGTATCTTTTTCAAAGAGTAGTTAGGTTGTAAACAGTTGAACGTGCCCAAGGTGAATAAGGGGCTAATACTAGGAATTATTATTTTGAATTTGTTATATGATTTAACAGTAGATGGTTATGGATTTTTTTGTGATTATTATATGTTACTGTACTTTTGCTTGTGATTTGTTTAGAGTCAAAATTATTTAAGTTGCAAAAAATCATTTATGATAAATAAAACAAATGGTTTATTGCTAAGCATGGCATATGCTGTAAATTAACTAGCTGTGACTTGTTCAGCAGCTCAATAAACATCTAATATCATGCATAAATCTGATCCGAGAAAATCACTGGGTCATGAATCAAGGATATTACAATGATAATGACAGTATTTTACAAAAAAACAACATCTTAATTCTGAAGCCCAGAAAGGTATCATTCATTTATTATAGAAATCACCCATCTCTCCCTAGAGGGACCCCGTATAGTGTACAAATAAAATATTAACATATAAAAATGTTAAAACAGGACAACCAAATGTAAAAATGTAGAATACAACAAGAATAGTTAAAATATAACATTAAAAGTTAATTACAGGTTAATTATAAAGGGATACCATTGGCAAACAGTTCTTAACGTCCAATTTCATCAAGCTTTTCCAAGATGAGTGCTCTGCAATTGTTGGACTTCAATTTGTATAATCCCCAACTAGGTAATCTGGAATTTGACATCTGATAAGTACTCAATACAGGGAAGACTGATTTATGCTACTGACCCTGTAACAACATGGTTTAGTCTTGCCCTCATGATTTCTGATTTTAGGATTGGTATCAGTATGACTTTTGAGATCAATTGCTTTACACTATAGACACCATCTTCAACATTTAAATTATTTTAAATCTATCTGGTAGATTTGGGAGAGGGGAGGAATAGCAATAGATTTATATATAGCTCCAGGGTGTGGGTGGTAGCAATAGACTTATATATAGCTTTACAGAAGAGGTCTCTAACCTTCGCCACTAAGACTTTTGAACTTTTGGCTTCAGCAAAGCTGGCTGAGGAATTCTGGGAGTTGAAGTCCACAAGTCTTAAAGCGGCCAAGGTTGGAGACCCGTTTTATAGCACTCTCAGAGCAATGTACAATGGCATCATATTTCCCCCAATAATCTGGACCCCCATTTTACTGTCCTCGGAAGAATGGAAGGCTGAGTCACCCTCGAGCCACATCAGGATTGAATTGCTGACTGTGAGTAGACTAAGCCTACAATACTGCATTCTAATCATGGTGTCACCAGGGAAATGGATGTTGGCTAAAAGAACTATAAAATACTGCAATGGAAAAATGTGGACATGATTCATGACTAAAGATTTTCCTTACTGCTATGTGTTGCGAAATTTAAATTAACCCTATTCAGCCAAAAGTCAAGGAAGAAAACTTTAAAGCAAAGTCAAAAAGTTGTATTTATTTAATTTTATTCCTCCTTTACTATTTTTGTAAGCAACTCAAAGCGGAGAACATAATACTCCTTTCTCCTCCCCTGTTCCCAACAACAACTCTGTGAGGTGGGTCGGGCTGTGTGTATGTGACTGGCCCAAAGTCACCCAACCGATATTTGTTGCATTTATAATGATTTTCCAGGCTTTTAAAAACAAAATTGCTATGCTTATCCACTTTGAATCAGGGCTGATCCTTGAATGAGACTGTATGTATATTTTTCTATTGATCAGGCTTGCATCAGTGGTGGGATTCTACTGGTTTGGCCTGGTTTGGCTGAAATGCTAGCTCTGAGAATCATCTGTGAGTGAACCCCTTTGCTCCGATGACCAGCTGCTGGGCCCACCCACCTGCCCTGCCTCTATCCTGACCTTTATTTCCTGGTTTTGAAGCTCAGCTGCTTTGTACGGCACAGCAGACTGCTGAGCGTCAGCTGTTGAAGACACAGTGAGAGCCCAGGATTGCAGGAGGTCAGTAGCAAACTCTCTGCACGCATGAATTGCTTGCCTTCCAATCATGCAAACTCTTGAGTAAATGGAATTAGTCAGTGGAACTAAAGTTTCACAAAGCGCACCCGCAAAGCCACGCCCACAGAACCGGTGGTAAAAAAAAAATGAATCCCACCACTGGCTTGCATGATACAATTAAGGACATATAAAACAATTACTGGAGCTGTTGATAGAAACTTTGGTTCCACTGACTAATTCCATTTACTCAAGAGTTTGCATGATTGGAAGGCAAGCCCAAGACAGTTCTATTCAGTACAATAAGCTATGGGTGGTAAGGAAACATGAACAGGAGAGAAAACAAGAGTAAGTCTCACATCTTTTGATATAAGACTATGTGGCAGAGGCATCCAGGCTTTATGACGGCCAGTGCAATGGGTTGAGGTGTTGGACTGAAACCAAGGAAGCCTAAATTCAAGTCTCCCCTTGATCTCTGGCTAAACAAGAGAACTGAGGGGCCCTGGGTGCTCTCTGAGCTTGGTTGTTTTCTTGCAGACATTTCATTGCTCAAACTAGGTAAGACCATCAGGCACCACGCTCAGGGAGCATCCAGGACCCCTCATTTCAACCCTGACCTATAAATATTTTCCTTTATTGGTAAAACAAGAGAACTTCAGTGCAGAGAAACTGAAGGGAGATTGCCCTGAACTGCCAAAGGAGAGCAGCTGCTTTTGGCATCAAGGGACTGCCTTGAGGTTTGGGTCGATTTTAACAGAATAAATGCTATGGAACACGGGTGGGATTTTACCGGTTTGGCCTGGTTTGATCAAACTGGTAGCTCCAAAAATCATCTGAGAGTAAACCAGTTCACTCCAATGATCTGCTGTTGGGCCCAGCTATGCCCACCAAACCAATGGTAAACCACTTTGCATCCCACCACTGCTATGGAAATAATATTGTATGGCTAAAGCAGTCAAGAGTGAGTGGTCATAACTTCTCTTCACTAATCAGGAGCCCTTCTGGTATAATTCAATTAGTGAATCATGTTACATCCTAACACCATGAGGCTAAACAGTGAAAAACATGAGTTTCTACATTTTATGTAGATACAATTGATCCCCGCCCCTTTGGAGTCTTAAAATTGGATTCTGTTCTTTGTGTGATAATTAAAACTAAGAACATGACTTAGATTTTTTTTTTCTTGCATCTGGGGCCAAGTAAAATCAACTTTCCATCTTGTAAATCATGTCGTTTATGCTATGGCCTAAACATAAACATGCAGAGAAACAAAATAGGAGTGTCTTTTTCCAGTATTTTCAGAACAGAGGGCCAAGGAAAAGGGTAATCTTCGTGGTTCCGTGCTAAAGACTTCCAGACAGATTCAGCAAGTTGAGCCAGTTAGAACATCAAGACAGTACGAATGCTGAAAAATAAAACACAGGCTTTACTTTCCACATCCTCTTGCAAAGAAAAATGATCAAAACACAAGTATGTTTAAATTCAGGGCCTGTGACTGATTTCCTATTTTCAAAGCTTGCTGACAGATATTATTATTAATCTTGGAATATGGGAAAGGCAGGCTAGGCTGTTGGGAAATCTGACAGTTGCACTTGTTTGTGGAAATGTGAGGACAACAGCATTTGACATTCGTAAGAAATCAGTGCTGTGGGAAACTCATCTAGTCAAGCAGATGTGGGCCACAAAGAATGGCACCTCACATTACAATAGAAGAATCTGGGAGTTCAACAATGAAGGTTGCATGCAGATCTGAGGAATCTCCTGAAATTTATTTCCTCACAGACCTTTGCTTAAGCCACTTATCAGTTACTTCAACAATCTTGCTTCGACATTAGAAGAAAGCCAGAAACAGAGAGCCCAGCACAAGGCAAAAAATTTGCAAAGTAATTTCACAGTCTTACCTCATTTGGTAGCCCCTTGTTAAAAATGCTGACGACATGCATGGAAGTGAAGCTGCCTAGATGAACAAAGGGGATGTGAATTCTGACTTTCTTAGCTCTCCTAAAAGCTCCTCATCTCAATGGCCATGGCATCTTTCTGGACAACTTTGCAGCCTTGGGAAACTATTTTTATTTTATTATTAAATTTATTTGCCACCCAATGACTCTGGGCAGCTTACAGCATGAAAACATTAAAATCATCAGATATAAAATGACAAAGCAGTTAAAATAAAACCACTTAACACAAGATGGAGAAGGAGGGAGCCAGATACATGTGGGAATGGATGAGATGGGATTTCCCCAAACAAGTGCAGCAGTCACATTTCTCAACTGTACAACCTGTCTCCCATATTCCAAGATTAACAATAATATATGTCAGTAGATATTAGTCACCATCTCCAATGTGAAGCCACCTCCATCCCCCAAATTGGGTCCCCAAGCCATCTAGCGGAACCAGGTTTTAAAACTCTTATGAAAAGTCAGGAGGTTGGGAGCCAATCACACCAGATGGCAAGATATTCCAAAGGGCAGGAAAGGGGCTTTGTTTTGAGTGGTTTCCTACCTATCTGGCAGGATAGTCCCAGATGGTGTTGCTTGGGACCTAGTGCTCCACAAAGAACAAACTGGCATGTGAAATTCTTCAAGGCTCCTTTTGATCTACAGCGCTTTTAAAATAAACACATCAACTGTTGGGAAAGGACCTTGAAATCCAATTCTCTAGGTAACCCTATCAGGAAATGGTGTAACTCCCTTGAAGGTATGCCTAAGGATAGTGATGGGCTGAATAAAGGAAAACAAATTGAAACTGAATCCACATAAGACAAAAATATTCACTGTGAAAGGCCATGACTCTTAAGTTTTGCGCGGAGCTATTCTTGATGAAATCACACTCTCCCAAAATGAGTGGGTACACAACTTAGGAGTGACTCTGGATTAGATCAGCATCTAGTTATAACTTCCAGGCTTGTCTTATGCGTTATATAAGGTTATTTATGTGTGCAACTTAAAAGCTTTAATTGGGACAAACTGCTATAGCCAGGTCAATGTTTGGTTTATCCCCCAGAGCCCACATCATGCTAATTTTAAGTTCAGGTTGCCAATTTGCATCTAGGTGCAGAAGAAATTATAGCTTATTGTTTAAAGTGACTTAGACCTGGGATTCCTAAAATCATGTCATCTCCTCCGAGATTCTGAGTTTGATCAAGTGAGTAGATCTGGTTGATATGGCTGCCAGTTGGGGCTATTTTTTTCGGGGGGGGGGGGGGGTTTGTGTATATAGAATTCATTAGAACAAAGAATGACTAGAATTAAGCCTTTACAAGGCTTTAAAATTCACTCTTTCAATTACCCTTTAACTTTCACTAGAGAAGTCTTAGACTCAGCGTAGCTAAGAAAAGTACAGCAAATACTTCAGTTTCCTGGCAACTCTACAAAATTAATATTTGCTCTATGTGTAGATGAAATTGAATTTGTTTTATTTATAACCTGTATTTATGATGTTGATAAATAACTTAAGGCAAAAAACATACTGAATACTCCTTCTTCCTCCCATTTACCCGACATCAACCTCCTTTTGTGGTGGATTGGAGTGTGAGAGAGCGATTGGCTCAAAGTCACCCAAATGGCTTTCATGTGTAAGGTGGGATTATAACTTACAGTCTCCTGGTTTCTAGCCTTGTATCTTAACCACTGGAACAAGCTGGCTTTTGGAATTCAAACTGAAGTCTGAGCTGAAACTACTTCTGTTAAAAGTAGGTCACGATGGGACAGAAATCTCACCTCTTTCCAGCACGAAGCAAATCAAATCCTTTCCTAATATCACTGAATGGTAAAATGTGGGTGATCAGAACATCTGGTTTAAATTTTCCTTCCATGTAACTGGAGACCAGTTGAGGAATTGAATCTTTCATCTTCCAGCCTAGAAGAAACAAAACCAAATGTAACCTACTAGATGTTGGCTCTGCTTCCCATGAACATTTTTGCAATTTGTCAAACTTTTTTTTTTTTTTGGCAAATCACAAAAATGCTCATAACAAAACTAGTAACATTATTTTTTTTATTGTAAAATCAAATATAGAATAAAGTAAAACTGGAAGCACATGGATTGCTAAATGTTTACTCTTAACTGCTGCTTCATTTTCTGGAGGAAAGATGGCAGCTTTTTCCTAACCTGGTATCCAGATGAAGTCAGTCTCTCTCTCTCTCTCTCTGTCTCTCTCTCTGTCTCTGTCTCTGTCTCTCTCTCTGTCTCTCTCTCTGTCTCTCTCTGTCTCTCTCTCTCTCTGTCTCTCTCTCTCTCTGTCTCTCTCTCTCTCCCTGTCTCTCAATCTCTCTCTCATAATTATATGGCCACCCACCTCACAAAACCTGGCTTGCAGGGGTGGGCTTCAAAAAATTTAGCAACCAGTTCTTTGCCCAGTTGCTGGCTGGGCATGGCCATGGTGGGCATGGCCTAGTTGGCCTACTGCACCACCCTGGCCTGGGACAAAAATGGGCCATGGGGGGGAAGTTGCCCTCCCTGGGCTCCAGAGGCTTTTCTCAACTCTCCAGAGGGCGAAAATGGTCTCCCAGGCTCCAGAGACCCTCTGGAGGCTGGAAACGGGTCCATTTCCAGCCTTCCAGAACTTCCGGGAGGCCCATTTTTCACCCTCCCCAAGGCTCCGTGTGATTCCTACACTTACCTGGGATCCAAAATGGGCCACATGGGGAGTCCTGGGAGGGGCAGGGTGAGTGGGGCCAGCCAGGGGTGGGATTTGCCGATTCACTGAACTGGCCATAAAATTAACAACCGGTTCACCTGGTGTCATTTTATGATCTTTCTTGCCACTGTTGCTAAGTGAATCACTGCAGTTGTTAAGTTAGTAACATGGTTGTTAAGTGAACCTGGTTTCCCCTTTGACTTTGCTTTTCAGAAGGTTGCAAGTGGTGATCATTTGACCCTGGGACACTGCCACCATCATAAATATGAGTCAGCTGCCAAGCGTCTGGATTTTGATCATGTGACCATGGGGATATTGCAGAGATTCTCTAAACAATTGTGGCATTAAAGGTCATATAATGAGATAAACCTCATGTAACAACTGCCTTGTTTTGCATTGGAAATTTTGGAGTCAATTGTGGTCATAAAACAAGGATTATCTGTAATACAGACACAAATCAAATGAAACAATTATCCTAGGACAAACTCTGGTTTATAGGTATGTTCACATACCCTCATTTCCACTGTCATTTCATACTAAAAAAAGTCAAATAAAATACCTGTTTCTGAGTGTATTCACTTAACTTTCATCTGTCAACGTACCTCCAATGAAACTCCCTTTTATGGTGCGCCCTGTAAGAAGCAGCATAGGATCCAAGGAGAATTTTGCACCTAAGGGGGGCATCCCTATCACTACACAGATCCCACAGCCCATGTGACAAGAGGCCAAAGCAGCTGTCTGGTTGAAAAAAAGGGAAGACATTAAGAAAGTTTTTGCCCTGCAAAGAAAAAAGGGACGATGGATGAACATTAAAAAATACTGTATTTGACCCTGGAAATGGTAAAGATAAATAACAGCTGACTTAGTATAAAGCAAATGTATACGGAATGTTCTGCAATCTGCATACAGCCACTATTGATGCACATGCCTCACAGTAAGCTACCTATTTCCCAAAATGATTTTTTAGCAACAATTCTCTGAAGTTACACCTGAATCTGTTGATAGCATTCCAAAGGATTTCGGATCTTTCTGGAAAGCTGATCAGTTTATTTTTTTCAGTACTGACAGTTGAGTATCCCGAAATAGCATCCATCCATCTGCTTCTTAAGAAGATCAATTTAATTATAATTTTTCTTTTTATATTTGCTGTTTTTTATCTGATTATTAAACACTGTCCAGGGTTGCTGTTTTGAGATGAGCAGCTGTATGAATTTTTTTTAGATAAAATAAAAAACAGATTTGATCAACCACCCTGCCTTAACTGAATCATGCATAGGCTCTAGCTACTAACACACAAGAGTTTAATCTCAAACACAGAGGGCTTCCTTGGCAGTCTGCCTGAAGGCAGGACCCATTTTTACAGAATGTACTATGAACTCATTGTCTTGAGAAATGGTCATGGCTACCAAATGAGGTTGTTCAAAGGAGGAAACTAGTGAGTTTTTGTGGTTGACCATGGACTTGAACTTGTCTCTCCTCAACCCTGATTGAAGATCTTAACCAGTACACCCCAAAAACTGATCCATAGAGGGATGAACTATCATTTGTTGTCTTGATGGCCATTTACTTTCTCTGAATGCTTTAAACCCTAGCTGCCAAGAAGCAGGAAGGGAACAGGACTCATATCCCTATTTTCAGGGTTCTGACAGATGCCCTAATTAAACCATGAGCCTTGAGCCAATTTTCAAAAGAAATACAGTTATTTATTAGGAGCAACATGTCGGCATGTACCCAAGTGAAGTCAGCTCTGCCTCACGTAATTTACGGCTCAACTATGACTCTGTTTCCCCACTCCCCTCAGGGTGTGTCATAAATCACATTCTCCAATGAAGCACCTTCGTGGGCTGCAGAGATCATGCCTCTGGGATACAGCCTTGAGAAAAGTATGCGTGGAATGTGCCTCTGGCCATCGCTGCTGTGCTGCTGCACCCGTTCTCCCCTCTCCTGCCCTTGGCAACTCGATAGCAGGCCAGGAATGCTTTACGAGTTGATGCCTATACTATTTGAGATATTGTAGAAAGACAGCCATGTTAGTCTAAGGAAGCCAAAAATCAGAAAGATTTTAAGATTAACCAATATTTATTTTGAACTTTCATGAGTTACAGATTACTTTATAAAATGCAGAAGGGCTTGAGTGATGTGAGATTATAAATATAAGGACTGATGTGAGATTAAAGTACAGCTTGATAAATGATTAGGCGCTTAAGACTCTTTCCTGGATAGTTTTCATCTATATTACTACTGTGCCATCTCCTTTTCTCCCCCATCCCATTCTGCCTTATACCTGTGTATTTCAAACTCAGTCAAGCCACTGATCAAGTGAGTTGCAGCTCATAAAAGTTTAAAATAAACACTGGTTAACCTTACCAGATGTTATCAGGCTCATCCCATTTGACAGTTTCCCAAATGAACCTATTAGGCTACTGGGAGACAGAGAACACCGAATCAGATGATCCTTTGGGCTGATTTTTATGAAATAACTGTTTTACTGTAGTGACAAATTGTTCAAAAAAATATCAATACAGCAAACCTGGAGAAAATATACATACAGTAGTATCCAGACTTAATGGATTGCAGTTTTCCATCTTTGAATACAGTGGACAAAATCTGTGCCCCAATAGATCTCCAAAATATTAAACTAAGTCCATTATATCCAAAGTAATTCAGACAATTCATTTAAATTTAGATTAATGATTTAAATTGTATTATCACTTGCATATTGATGCTATTTATATCACTTGCATAAGAATGGATTTATGCAAATAAAGTAAAATGGTGACTGTTTACACAAATGAGGTATATTCACATAGCTGGTAGTAGCAGATGTTGTCTCATTCGGAATGGTCTTTTAAATCAAGACCATTCTTTCATTGAAATCTAGCGTTGAATGGCAAAAGAGCCAATACATGTTGATTAAATACATACCAGTGTCTCCAAACATCCAGCAACCTCAAAGGCATAATCTACACCATGTCCAGTCATTTCCAGCACTACTTCTTGAATGGGTTTCTTGTAATCTTGAGGGTTGATACATTCTGTAGCTCCCAGTTCTTTTGCCTTCCCAAATTTTTCACTGTTAATGTCGATCGCAATTATACGAGATGCTCCAGCGGTTTTGCATCCCATGACCACAGAGAGTCCAATGCCTCCCAAACCAAAAACAGCACAGGTGGATCCAGGTGTAACCTATGGAGTCATGGAGAAAGAGAGCTGCAATACATTCAAGCTATTCCCAGCAGCAGAACAAATTGATGGAGAAGTTCTTAAGTGGCACAGAATTTGAGAGCTCATCAACAACTTCTAAATAGGTTTTCTCACCTGGGCTGTATTGAGGGCAGCCCCATAACCAGTAGAGAATCCACAGCCAAAAAGACAGACTTTATCAAGAGGTGCATCATCATCAATTTTAACAACGGTAGAGTCAGGCATGACTGTATATTCAGAGAAAGTGCTAATCCAAAGGAAGTGATGAATTTGCTTCCCTTTGCAGCTGAATCTACTGGTTTTGTCAGGCATCAGATTTTGTGGTTCCGAAATGCTGTTTCAGAGATAAATGGACTTGTCAGTAAGAAAAGAAACTTGATGTGCAATGTCCTGAATCCAAAAAAATACAAAAAATTTTTTTTAAAGGAACTCACTGGGTTTTCAGGCAACAGTTGGTGTTTGATTTTAAACACGAGTTGCATTCTCCACACTGGGGCAGACAAAGAGGAATAACTTTGTCTCCTTCGAATACAAAGGAAAAAAAACATGAAATCTCTGGATCAAAAGATGTTTATTACCCACATTTTTATAAATCAAAAATTTTAAAACAGACTTTTCCTGATATACAGTATTTGCCATAGTTGAAACAGCCTTCTGAATGCACTCATTAAAATTCAGATTGTAATTCATTGTGAATTTGGGGGGGGGGGGGGGAGAAGCAGTACTAAATCAGATGTCTTAGAAGCAGTTAATTTCACTTAACCATATTTAATCATTCTTCATTCATACTACACCATGGCTTAGCATATTGGATGAACTTAGCATTAGTGGTTTTAAAGTATAAACTTCAGTCTACAATTCAGTTTTGCTATCCATGGTTCATGGCAAATCCTTGCACCATCATTGCATAAGTTTTCATAGATCAAAGGTTACTTCATCAGGGGAGCAGAGTACAGATCTGAGCAAGAGAAAATTTCTTTTATTATACATACAGCTTCGTTGGGAAGAGGAAGAATGGAATGATGAAGGGACACTAAGTCACAATTGCTCTAGATATGTCTAAATATCTAGAGCATGACAGATAAATTCTTGCAATGAATTGCAAACTAACCTGACCTCTGGTGTAATCTAGGAAAAATGGTGCTATAAATACAGTCCATATAGGTAGTTCTCAACTTATGAGCACAATTAGGGCCAGAATTTCTCTTGCTAAACAAGACTGTTAAGTGAGTCACACCCAATCTTAGGAGCTTTTTTTCCCAGTGAAGCAAATCACTTCAGTTGTTGTGTGAATCATGGGATCAATAAGGGATTCCAGCTTTCCCCGTAGACTTCACTTGTCAGAAGGCGACTGGGAAAATTGCCAATCGTGGTCAAATGACCCCGAGATGTTGTAACCATCGTAAATACATATCAGTTGTCAAGCACCTGGATTCTGATCAGGTGATTATGGGGACGCTGAGAAGGTCATAAGTGTGAGGGCTGATCATGTCTTTTTTTCAGGGCCCAGAAAAGGATGGTCTCTAAACAGGTGGTTTTAAGTCGAGGACTACCTGTAGTTAAACGAATCACGCTCTGTAATATCGGAGCTCAGTTCTGTACAATGCAGATGTCAAGGTTCCAACTGATGAACCCAACCAAGGAAGCACGGTCGAGATGATCCAATCTTTTTATGCTATTCTTTACTGAGTACATCATATCAGTATAGATTGAAAGCAAAACCAACTCTGCCTAATTCCTGCCATTTTCATGTAGTTAAATAATTGAATCTCCCCCCCCCAACTAGCGCAGGTCACATTGTCCAATTAGGTGTCTAGCTATTGTTATGGAAACTGTCTAGGTGTTTGTCAAGCATCTGTCAAGATGACCTTGGTTCCCATGGGATGGTTTCTTGTTTCCACCTGGGCCTGGCATTCCAGAATGGATTCCCCTCCCACCCCTGAGTTTGTAGCAAGTGAAAAAGCGGCAATGGCTACGACAGCAAAATCACATTTTTAACCTGACAGCAGACTCCATGTAATAGCATATGTAGTAGCATATAGCAATTATGCTGGATACCCATTGTATTTTGAAGATATTGAGATGCACATGAAAAAGCCAGAGGGCTTCTTCTCTGTACCTGGTTTCACACATGTCACTCCTGGCCCAACACTCTCCACTATTCCAGCTCCTTCATGGCCAGGAATTACAGGATACTCTACTTTGGGGAAAGAACCTTCCAGAACATGGTCATCTGTCCCGCATATTCCGGTGGCTATTATCTATAATAGAGAACAAAGTTATGTCTATAATAGAGAATAAGTTATGTCCAACCATAGCGGATGTTATGTGGGTATTTACTAGGGGCTTCCAAAGATCTATGCATAATAGTCTCATATGAATATGGACAAGCCAATGGATTTTAAACAATGGATAAAAACACAAATGTAAAAATGCTATTACTCTGATGCCAAAGACCAAAATGCTGTTTGCAGGGGAAAGAAAACTGTAAAATCTCCATCCTCTCCCCACCCACTGCTTTCCAGCTCTGTTCTCCTGTGAAGGGCAACAAAAGAAGACCCAGCCGATCAGCTGGGACTCGGGAGGCAGAGAGTAGATGGCAGGGCCAGTCAGAGGTAGTATTTGCTGGTTCTCTGAACTACTCAAAATTTCCACTACCGGTTCTCCAGAACTGGTCAAAACCTGCTGAATACCACCTCTGGAATGCATGCTATTAACGTTTTGTTATCAAAATAGGTAACATCATCAGCAGGATTGTCTTGTCCTATTCTCCTTAGCTTATAGATGTCTTGTGTGCCAGTGTGGTCATTTGGTTGGTTGTTCGTTTGGAGCCATAGTTAAATTCTGAGCTCCAAATAAACAACCAACCAAATGACCAACTGATCACACTGGCACACAAGACATAAGCTAAGACAATCTTGCTGATGATGTTACCTAATGAAATGTTCAGAAACTAAACTGAAACAAATTTGGAGAGCAAACCAAACCTAATCTAAACCTAATCTAAAACCCGAACTACAAATATTTTCTATTATTTCAAAATGAACAATATTTAGCCAACGTTTTGGCTTCTAGGTATAATTTTTTCGTAAGGGTGCAATTATTTTGGAAACAGGGCAAAATACTTTTCACCAGTGACTTAAGTAAGTCATGTTGCATGTAAGCCACGAAACACTTGCTTGCCTACTGCAATTTCTGTGCAAGGTAAGAAATTGTCAATCCCAATTCGTGTCTCCCTGATATCAAAGCAGTGCTCATCAATGGCATTGGCAACTTGATGGCTCTTCCCGTGCCATTTTGGATTCCTGATTCAAACTGTCACATTGCAAGAGGTATACATGTTTGTGAAGGCTTCCTCCTTAATCGGATCAAAGTGTTCCGATTCACATTTCTTCAAATTATCCTGCACAATCTTATCTTGTGTGCATGCCTTAATTTATCCTTTCTTCTAACTGCACTGGGAAATGCTGCTCTAATTTATCAGCAGTCTTCTTTATACAGCCATTTTGTAAACTATAATATTTAGCATGGAATTTCATATGAAGTATGAAAGATAAATATCCCATATTTTATGTCAAATGAAGCACTGAAGTAAGATAATTTCAAAATGATATCACATAAGTTTCTTGGACTAGGAAGCATTCATGCCCCAATCTTCTCATCATTCGGGAAAATGAGATGGGAGGTTATGCCAAAACTAATAGCAGCAAACTCAAATTCTTTGCATTCCTGTCCACCCCACTATTTTCATTCAGACCTATGCAGCAAAGCTGAGCATTGCACTGGATTGGAAGCTGAAAGGTGCTTTGAAACATGGGAGCCCACATATAGAATCTATTTACAACTCTTTAAATTAACTGTGTCACTTCTCGGGATCAGAAAAGAACCTCAATTTGCAAAATCTCAGGGATCCATTTTGCAACTTCTTATCCAGTATAGTATAGCAACTGAGTTGATGGACTGGGAATTGGGAGATCATAGTTTTATTTTATCCTCAGACCCAGATGCTCACTGGGTAACTGAGCCAATCACAGTTTTTCTCTCTCTCTCTTTGCTCAAATTACTTCATAGGGTTGTTGTTTTGGGAACAAGTAGGAAGAAGTACTGGGTACACTGTTGTGACTCCCAAACAAAAGTTATAAATCTAATACATAAATATCTAAAACAAAACATACTTAAAAACTAGTGTAAGGGTCACAAATGGGGGTGCCAGAAAATTGCACATAAACTAGAGATTACAAATGACAATTTAATAAAAGCAAGGCTGCATTCACAGGACACATGTAGTAAACCCAAATAGAGCACACCATGGTCTGTGAATGTAATTCACATTTACTTTTCAATTCCCATTTACTTTTCTCTTAGCCTTTTAAGGATTGCCAATGTATGAGTATTTATTTAGCAAACTGCTTGGCAAATGCTTGAAAAACACATTAACAGAAGTGACAAGTTGTAGTTTTCCTTTAAGAACAAAACAGTGCTTTCCAAAATAGAGGACCATGGAAAATTATTCATAAAAATTGAACTACCTTAACACGAACTTCATGAGATCTTGGTGGAGCCACTTCTACCTCTTCAATAGAAAGTGGTCTGCCGACTTCCCAAGCCACAGCTGCTCTACATTTGATAACCTAAGAAAGACAAGCCAAAAACAAATATGTTTAGTCTCATCCTACGCAAAGCACAAAGTAGATGAAGCCAAGTAGCAGAACTTTCCCACTATTATAACATGACATGTTGGTCTACACCCAAAATCCTTCTCAATGTAGCAGCTCACAGTGGGGGTCATAGAGAAAACCTCTTATGCCATTCCAGTGAGAGTAATCAGCTCCCTTGAGATATAGCACCAGAGGCCTCCGCAGGAGGACTCAAATGAGAAACTTAATATCCCATAGTTGCACCACAAGCTCTATTGCCTTTGGACATGCATCATGAAGATGTACATGTGTACCAAAGGAGCTGAACTTGCATCAAAAGGATATAATGATGCTCTAGTCATTTTAATAAAACCTTTAACCCATGGACCCTTCTGTATAATACACATTTTCTGCAATAAAGGAGCACAACAAGGCACATGTGGAGGGAGGGATTTCTTTGCCATTTAGGAAAGTGGAAATTAGTCCATCATGTTATCTACTGTACATCTGAGAGTCGTAATCTTTCTCATCTCTAGAGCACCCTCTGACTAGAGGGGTTGAAAACTGTTCGCACTTTCCTACTTTTTAAGACAACTATTAGTGCAAGTTGCAAGCAACCTAGGCATACATATTTTTTAAAAAATTGTATTGTGTGTGCCCAGCCCTCCTGACAAATTCCTTCTCCCATCAGAAATTTCGTATTCTCTGTGGCATAACATGAATTCATTTTCCCAAAATGTTAATTCTGGCTTCTAGCTACCTAAAAAAATGTCCATTTTTAATTTACTTTGAAACTTGGACAAAGTAGTGAATGAAATGTGATCTACAACTGAGCTATGACCCCAAGTTTAGTGGTGCAACAGGGCACCCTTTCCTCATTGGGCAATTATACATTAACAATATTATCTTAACAAATCACTTTCTTCCTGAGGTTTTTAATCCCAGTCAGTGCAATCAGTGACTTATAATATGGCCTAATACATTTTCCAGAAATCATATACACATTAGATAATGTATTATACATTGTTGTATATTGTATGTTCTAAGTAAGGGATGATGCAGCCATGTGTGCACTAGAACATCCTGCAAACTAAATCCCTAGTTATATGTACTTCAGATGCCAATCTGGCTGCAATAGTATGGAAATTAGATTGCAATTGTAATCCTTTTAGGTGGTAGAAAGCCTTCACAGCAATCTTGATTCCTGGTGACTGCCTGGACAGATCCCTGAGATTTTCTTGGCAAGATTTCAGAAATGGTTTGCCATTGTCTGCTTCCAAGGGCTAGGCGAATGTGACTGGCTCAAGGTCACCCAGTTGGCTTGGTGTCTAAGGTGGGATTAGAACTAACAATTTCCACGTTTCTGCCTTAACCCCTACATCAATCGCCTCTCAACCGTAAACATATTTAAATAGAAATTGATCCAACTGAACATATTGTTTGGATTTATAGTGAACCACAAAGAAGTCAACCGCATTTTACTCTAGTGTATTTTGAGAATGCCACCCATCTGTGTTGCATTAGGCTTACTAAATGACGCATAGTGCAATAACTACGGCTAAAGTCTTACCTAGGATCTCTCCATTTAAGGGTAAATCCTGATGCACAAAACAAGACAAAATTACCCACTGACACTGAACATTATCCATAGTGCAACAAGTGGCAACGCTGTCTTGGGGCAATTGTAGTCTAGTGTATATTTGAATATAATTAAACAAAAAATAGGTTTCTAGCTAAATAATTCTTGCACATTGTTCCATTAAATCTTACTGTTGCCATTATTTCATAGAAAGCATGCAAAGAAGGTATGCCATCTTAAACTGTGCATTAAGCCCTGGTTTGGCTTAACTGTGGTTTACTGTACAAACCAGGAGTCTCCAACCTTGGGAACTTTAAGCCTGGAGGACTTCAACTCCCAGAATTCCCCAGCCAGCTGGCTGGGGAATTCTGGGAGTTGAAGTCCTCCAGGCTTAAAGTTCCCAAGGTTGGAGTCTCCTGGTATAAGCTGTACTTTCTACACAAAAAAAGGGAAACACCAGCCATCATTTACATATCTTAACAGCGGGGCTCGCACCAAACATTAACCACAAATCAGCAGACGCATTTCCCTTTTAAATTAGTTAATTACAGCTTAGATTAGTTTACTTCTTCCCTAAGAAGAACAAACCATTTCTTACTTTCCCAGAAGTGTCCATGTCTGCAAACCACCCACTGCCACGAGGATCTTTCCACTCTTCTTTGGGAGAACCCTGGTCTACCGCTTTGGAAAAACGGGGGAGAGAAAGTAGAAGCTACCGTAGTAAACCAATATCGCCAACACAGCGATAGGCACTTCGCTTCCAGCATTGAAATTCCTTTAGGGTCAAGGAGCGGTCCAAAGGCAATCCCCCCCCCTTTTTTTCTTCATTAGAACTCTTCACTTGCCGTAGGCGCGCCGCGGAGGACTCTGGGGAATGCAGTCATATCTGCCTACAATATTGCCAACGCACTCTTTATAGAAGCGCTATTATCTCATCCGATCCGCATATGCTGTAACCGTTACAAGAATACCCCTGACCTGGCGTTTGAATAAAGGGACTGTGTAAATTCGTTTCCATATATACACTGACTTTTTCGCATGCAAAGGTGATGTGCAAGGACATTCTTTGTTTTACCAGAATTTGAGGAAAGAAGATTACAACTCTGAAATACTGTGTATACAATAGGAAAATAATCCTCGCCCCCCCTTTTTTTTTTTGGTTATAGGTGATTTTGGAGAGAAGCAGAAACACTTTCGTCCTTAAAAGACTTTGGAAGTAGTTTTTCATGTTGCACTGGGACCAGAGACCATCAACTAAAGTTCTCTGGGAGATTGCAGACTCTTGCTCAACCGAATCTGTACTTGCTGAGGAGGAAGGGAATGGGAGGAGGGACTTTTTTGTGTGTGCTACTGTACTTTGTGCTGCCGGAGAAAAAGCAATGTATTATTAAACTAGGAGGTAATGACACTGTGATGCTTTTCCCTGAGTAATGGAGACTATCTTCAATTCTTCAGTAATGCCTAATCCAGCTGGCAGCTGGTTATTGCTGGTTATATTATTGAATTTATATCCTGCATTCCTGTTTAAACAAACACTTCCCCCCCAAAAAAAATTTTATTGATTTTTTTTATTAATTATATTTCTTACTGCTTAGTAAACATCATGTTGTCTGGGTATTTAATTTGCTTAACAATTCTGAATATATTCTTAATCTCCACCCCTTTTTTCCAACCACTGGTAAAATAGATTTCATGTTTGATAATATTCTGTGTCTTCTTTCTGCTTAATTTTCAGTGTCAATCTATCCATTTCTGCATAGTCTAGTATCTTCTTAATTATCTCTTCTCATGGTATTTCTTCATTTTTCCAATATTGTGCAAATATAATCCTCACTGCTGTTACAACATGTAATATTAAATACAAACTTTTCTTATCTAATTTTTCTGATATTATACCTAATAAACTTTTTAAACAAACACTTGAGTTGGGTTAAAAGTATAACCAACTGGACTAATCCCTGCAGTTTTCTTGGCAAAGAAAAGATTTGCCATTGTTTCCTTCCTAAGGATGAGAGAAAAGGACTGTCCTTCGCTGAATGTAAATGCAATGTAAAATCAGTGTAAATGCTGATTTTAAGACTACAATGAGACTATAATTCATGTGGCTATACTAAACTCTCTCTTTATATAACGGTTACAAAACCAAAATAAAACAGTGACATTGTGTGTTATGTGAGCTTGTACAATGAGGCTCAGTATAATAGCACATCATCCAGTTACACTGAATTCACATTGCATTTTGAAGATATTAAAATACATGTCATAAAAGCCAGAGAGGTGGGGAGGAATCTTCCCTGACCTGGTTTTACACAAGTCTCTCCTGGTCTAATGCTCTCTACCATTCTGGCTTGGAATTATAGGATATTTTACTTTGGAAAAGAACTTGCCAGAATGTAGTGATCCATCCCACATTTTTTGCCTGAAAGACATCTACATTTTCCAAATTTTTATATAGTCTGTTGATTACTCAAAAGAAAACTTAATATTCTGAAAACAAATGTTTGAATGATAACATCTGTACTATGAGTCAGTATTATAATTTTTCTAGTTAACATGGGTGATTGCAGCTAAATATTCAAAAGAAATAAACAATTATGATACTTTATAAGAAACATTTTTTATAAAAAGCAAACATATTCCAAATCATTCCACATTCAGTTTAGTTGATTAAAAACGTAACAGCATAAATATTCCTGGTAAATCAAACTGGGATTATTTTTATGTTTGCTGCCAGAAGCTGGGTTATGATTTTTAAAAAGATAGAATGAGTTCCCAATGGTGGGTTTACCCATTACTGGAAAGGGACATAGTACATGTGTATACACAGAGTGTGGTAGATTCTAGTAGGCCCTGCTTGCTGCCTCTGGGGAGTAGTGGTGGTGGGGTTGGTGGGAGAGGCCCAAACTATCTATCCAATCTTACTGAACTTTCCACACAATAGTTAGAAGCCACCTCAGTTGCTACCCGGCACTTTTTCCTAGAAAAATCCCATTCTGCCATGGTTTACTAAAATGGAAACGGATGGCAATCTCTTGCCACTGAATTTGGAAAAATATGTTACAGAGGTTTTCCCTAGAATGAAGGTTAGTGAGTGATTGACTAAGAATTCAAATCTTTATTATGATATCAAGGTTCAAAAAAATGAGAAAAGACAGAATATGCTAAAGGAAAAAACCCAGATGATTTTAGTTGCTATTATTTGAATCTCTTTCTTCCAAAACACATAAGCCACACAATTGAGATCATGATCCACAAAGTAAAATTCTAATCTGCATCTGAATTTCACTACTTTCTGTATTGCTCATAATTCCTGGATCCCTAGCCTTGATCATTATGGGTTTCAGCCAGTTCCAGAGAAAGAAATGTGATGTGAACAAATGAAAATGGAGCCAGACCTTTTGACTTTTGCTCTTGTACTTGTTTGGTTCCTCGGAATTTGATTTTGAGAGTTTTCTGATGTCTTTGCCAATATAGCTTGATAGATAGATCTAAATTTCTCTTTGATTCTTCCAGTGCCTGAACTTCCTAAGAAGGATTTTTCTTTGAACAGCTACAGTAGTGAAAATAAATGTTTTGAAGTGTGATATTACATCAATAGATAATATCTTCATTCCTTGTTTGTGGGTTTTCTGAAGGCACCCATATAACCATCGACGAAGAAAATAAACAAGTGATCTGATCCAAGTAGTTTATTATTTTACAATAACATCACATGGGAATGTTCAAAATTATTAACCCAATAATATCTCAAATCCCTTGGTGATAGTAAATCTCTAGCCATAGTTCTATTAAGTTGTCCCATCTATAAGTAAAGTCTCTTCCAAAATATTTTGGCTCCTAACTCTTTGGCACTCTTAAGTGATAAAAATGTCAAACAATTATAAAAGAATTATGAGTGATAAAGTTTCTCTCTTGACTTTTCATCCATTCTTCTATGTTAAAGGAGAAGGACAAAACTGTGAACCTGCTATTGATGCTTGTGATCTTTTAAATGTAAGTGAATAGCCAATCTAATTGTAAATGAATAACCAACAACGGTTGTTCTTCTAATCTTGTCTTTTCATCTTGGCATGAATTGGGTTACAGATCGGCACTACATGGAAGGCAATTCAATAATGCCAATTTATTTTTTATCCTACCTTCATTATTTTATAAATAGCTCAAGCCAGTGAATGTATTTAATACACCTTTCTTTTGCTATATTAACCACAGCAACAACCCTGTTATGTGAGTGGGGCTGAGAGTGACTGGCCCAAAGTCACCCAACTGACTTTTTGGGTACCTAAGGTGGGATTAGAATTCACAGTATCCTGTTTCTATTTGGTGCCTTAACTTTTAGACCAAACTGTCTCTCTTTATTTTATTTACAGTTGAAAAAAATATTCTAATCCCACAACATTAAAAATGAGAAAAGAACTTGGACAAGCTGTCAATATTTGTACCAAATAAAAAGCTGTGTATCGTTTTCCATCTTGCATTTGTAAAAATATAAATTCCATCCTGCCACTCAAAAAAGTGAAGATTTTAAAAAAGCACAGAAATGGTGATAAAATAAATCTGTTTCTAGAACTGGAAGTAGTTAAACCTGCTGCAGATCATTACTGCTGTTGGATTATCTAGCTTTTGGTATATTTAATATATTTAATTGTTTGCTTAGTTATTGCATTTTACCAAGATGATGAATATTTCCCCAAACACATTTATCTAAAAAAGGCAGGGGTAGGAGGGAAACGTGAGGAGAATGAGTTACCTGATAGACAATATAACTAGAGGCCCTGAATATATTTAAATGGGACCTATTAATGAGACTTAATAAAATCTAGATGTGCATGGGTTTCCTTGAACTTGAAGCCCAACAGAAACATCTCTGAACTTATTTCATACTTGCAAACAGACTGAAAAATATTGCTTAATACTTCTCCCTAGTTTTTACCCCGGTTTAGGGAGAATTAGATGAGTTACAACTTCAACAAAGCACTAGACTACACCTATTTCCCTACTAATTAAAGCCACTGAATCTTATGCATTGGCCTTGCATTTATCTATTTGTCTCTGTGGTGAAAATAATTTGTGAGAAAAAAGGTTATGAGCACACATGCACACAATTTTATAAATCCCCTGTCTTTTAGGGGCATATAATTAACTAATGATGAGAAGGGGAGGGAGCTAATGAAATAGGGCTGGTGTACAAAACACAGGAATGTTAAGCATGTTTATAACTATATTTTGCCTAATCTTTGTTTTTGTGTGTTTTTGTACCTTAACTTCAGGGTTGTCTTCCTTGCAGATAAATTCAGCAGTAATAATAACACATGAACCAGAACAATGAGAAAAGAGATAGTAAGAAAAGAAATACGGTAATTTTGTTTCTGTTGACTGGTTTATTGAAGTAAATATGCTTCAAAGTGCATTTCTGGGAGATTTCAGAGACAGAAATGATAGTTTTCTATTTTTCTTCCAAACCAAAAACTTCAAAATGTCAGGACGCAACGGATGCTGAAACACCAGAAAACAGTTTATATTTAAATGTGGTTATTTCTTTTCTTAGCAAATTTAAGAAATTTTATTCAGACTTTAAGTAAGCCCAGTGATAGTAACCATTCATGATTATTTTTATCAATAGATTAATATTGTAAGAACTTCCAAGGCAGATTAAAGGGAGGTGGGGAAAAAAAAAAAAGAAAATGGACTAATTCTGCCAAAATTAAATTTTTCTAGCATGCCATTATTTCTGTGGAAGAATGAATAACATAGATAAATCTGTATTCTCTTTTGCAAATGAGGCACTCCACTACTCATCCTTTTATACAGCATAAAAGACAGCCCTAAT